GCCGATACCCACAGCACAAGTATCGGAATCGGTATCGGGAGGGAAAAAATGGTATCGGAACATCTCTAACACATACAAGAAAGTGACTCTGGTTGGACTGCAAAGTCGCCGGGAAGCTGCTTCACTGATTTGTCATCACCCAGTTGCAGCAACCTTTGGCAATGCAGCTGTGGCAGCAGGAGTAGGCTCCTGCCCCTTCTGTTATCTGTCAGCAACCCCTAGTAGCAGTCCTGGTCCAACAGTCTCAACCAGCAGCTCCATATTCCTGCTGTACCAACTCAGCCCTGCAATGTGCATTTGAGCCTGCCTCTATAATAGATCCACAGACTCCATACATGAAGCTCACAGTCCCTGTCACAAACCACGCACGGTACAGAGTGGGAGGACCAGGGGGTTAACAGGGGCCCAGCAGTTCCTGTTTGCTGTGGGGGCCCCTAGCAGGTTAATATGGCCATTACTGAATAGAGAAATAACTGGTGACATCTACCCATCCATCCATTCATCCATACTTCCATTCCCCTTTCTTTACATCCATCCATTTATTCATCCATCCATCCATCCATATGTCCATTCCCCCTGTCCATCCATCCATCCATTCATGTGTCCATCCAGCCACCCATTCCCTTTATCTTTCCATCCATCCATCCATCCTGCTATTCCCTTATCTGTCCATCCATACATTAATCCATCTATCCATCTATTCACCCATTCATCCACCCATCCATCCATCCATTCAGCCTGTCCATCTATCCATCCATCCAGCCATCCATCCTCACATATCAGCTCACCCTGATGGCAGTCGCAGTAGGCCCAGCTGATGGCACCGGAGCTCTGCCTGAAAAAGCACCAGGGGTTGGCCTCTTGGTCTGGGTTTCGGCAGAAGCTGTGCTCCCCCAGGCCTCGGCCCGGATACTGCCGCATGTAATCTGGGAAGTCTGTCCACTTCAGGCAGGGGGAGCCTGACTCTGTGCGGGAAACCGAGCCATTATAGTATCCCAGTTTTGTAAAGCCTTCAGAACAGGAGAGCGGAGCTGATGAAACAGAACATCACTCGTCAGTTATACAGCCTCTACTGCACATGATTTTACTTTGATACATTCTGGTCATAATACTTCTGTAATTGTAAATAACTTATATAGAGCCTTTCTAGTCTTTGGACCACTCAAAACGCTGTACACTACATGCCACACACACCCATCCACAAGCGTTCATACGCCGATGGCAGTGGCTGTCAAAAGAAACACTAAAACACACAGCATCAGGAGCAATTTGGGGTTCAATAGCTTGCTCAAGGACACTTCGACATGTACTATAAGGAGTTTTTAAGTGGTTATGAAACAGTCTCAATGTAATACTGATGCCCTTATATGACCTGCATAAACAAACAAGACCATCAGCGCCTACAAGGAACATTCATTTTATGTTGATTCTGGCACCCTATGTGGACAAAAGTGGTAGTATTTCTACTGCCTCGTTTTATTGAATTCAAGGGGAATCCGACCTGGTGGCAGACAGTAAGAATAACTGTATAGAAATATCCAGTCTTATCTCTGATGGTCTTGTTTGTTTCTGTATGTCATATAGAGGCATCAGTAAATTGAGACTGTTTCATAACCATGTAAAAACTTCTTGTAGTACGTTTAATTAAAAAAACTAAACAAAACAATATTTTTATGTAACAGATTAGTTTTCCATTGTAGTATTGTCACTTTTACTTGAGTAAAGGATCTGAGTGCCTCTGTGTGATGCTAAAATGAGCATGTCAGAGGTGATCTTCCAAACCTCCCTTATCAACAAAGATGGATTTACAACACTGGAGACACATTCAGAACAGGGTTGATCACGGTTGACAGCCCCATAAATAAGCCAAGAGCCTACATGATCCTCAAAATGCTTAGCTGCTCTCTGTTAGGATCTTTATTTATTTCCACGTTAGGATCCTCATTATGCAGCTGATCACCAGTGGTGTCTGAAGCAGCTTCAGAGCTCTTCCTTGGGTTATGGGCTCCCGTGGTGATTGCTAAGAACAAGCTCTATGAAGCTGGAGTGCATGTCAAACAGGAAACATTCATCTGGTGGGCAGATGGTAGTTTAACAAGACAATGCTGTGGCTGAAGACACTTAAGAGCAGCCAGAAGCACTGCCAACTGTAAAACTGATCTATAAAACTGCTTCCTGGGGAGACGCTATGTGACTGGTTCACACACACACATACACACACACACACACCTTGGTTTCACCTTACTGGTCGGATCTTACCAAAGCCCTGCAGTTGAAAATGATCCAGCTGGCTAACACTGACAGATTTACAGAAATGTTGATTAATGTCCCTATAAATAAATAAAGAAATAAAGAAATGAGAACAACTCTGATTTATCCAGAATCCCACAATCAATTACTCAACATTTGTACGTGCAGATTCTTGCAGACACAGCTGCCAGCTCATATATTTTCCAGTGGGAGTATCAGATAGGTATGAAGTCAGTTGGGCTTTGCTCCCATTAGAGGTAAAGCCTCGTTGCCATATGGGCTGAAGCATAAAAATCAGGAAATGTACAGGCACTTTAACTGTGGCTGTGAGCTATATGCACAGGGTGCTGCTGCTGGTAGTGGGGGTAGAACAGTAAACCACACTATACACAGACATGCTGTGACTGGAGGGGACAGGGCAGGGAGCTGAGGTGATGAGACAGAGGGCTGGAAAGAACAACGGACAGAAGGAACATAAAGGCTGATACTGTGAGTGTCTGCTTTTGGTGGATGATGTTGGTTATTATGACAAGACTGTGGGAGACAACAGTTTGACCGGAACAGAGGTTAGAGATTAGAGGCACAGGTTTGTACGCTACCTATGAAGTGATTCACAACCTCAAGCATATTTTTTTCCCCACGGCATTCAATCACTGTGGATATTTCTATTGGACACTGACCAAATGTTTTTGTTCTTTTTTTCCTAAATAGTCTATATAATTGGCA